TTGTCATTACTACCTCATGATCCTCCTCCACATTAGCATGGATCATAGCAATCTCCATATTCTTATGATACTCATCCGCACTCCTACTACCTTTCGTGAGGTGTTGGACTTTGTTGCACAATACTCAATAGTAGTAGTTTGGGATGAACTACCTGTGCTTGATATTTATCATTCTCTTCCATCTCTCCATGGACATCCTCCATTTATCCTTCTTTCTTTCAACAAATGATCACACCAAATAATAGCATAATTAGTAAATTCAATTGCAATAAGTTTAACATTCTTTTTAATTTGAAGTAATTGTCACAATCAAAGAACAACTCCATCTAGTTATCACATTCTAAATAAGCCTCAGGTTCACCCTTTCCTTGGAATGATGGAATCTTAACCTTGATGCTTCCCACATCATCATCCTTTCTCTTTTTACCCACTCTAGGCTCTCAATTCCCATACTACACTCAAACATCCCACGATTTCTATTTGGTTCTTTAAACTCCTATAACCCTTCATCATCCTCTACATTTCCATAAAATTTACCTAGTTGTACATAGCTAGGTTGCCTAATGGGATTATTTCACCACTGCCCTCTAGGTTTTCCCTCTTCCAACCTATCTATCCTCTCATGCAATGGCTCCAACTCAAACCTCATCATCCACCTCATCTCCCCCATCAATGCTTGTAATAGTAGGTTCAGATTGGCTCATTCTGAAACTCCTCAATTGAATTTTTTTCTTGGTTAAGCTTCATGCTTAAGATCTACAAATAGGGTTACGAAACTCACAAGCACTCCCTCATGTGTTTCACTCAAGAATGATTTCACTCACACTCATGTAATCACTCAATTTGTTTCTTCTTAGATTTTTAATTATACTTAATAAAGTAATAAGAATCAAGCAGCAAATTAAGTTTATAATTTAAAAATAAATCATAAGATTCAATAAGCAATCCTCAGGAAATTGATTCAAGCGCCAATAATATCAAACAATGGTTAAAAAATGAAGAATACTAGACCATGAACGAGAGTAGAATGAAAAACCATCCATAAAATAATTTTTTTCTCAAAAATTTGTCTTAATAGAGTAAGATGTATTCAACGATTATGGTAGCCTAAATTGTTAAAAAAAATAATAATAAAATTGAAGATGGGTCTCTAGACTCTTCTTTTCTTTCCCTTTTTTTTTTGGTAGGGGGAAGTTTTCTTTCCTTTTCTTTTTTAGAGATGTGTTGTTATGCCAATATTCAAAAATAAACTACAATATTGAACTAGTACAAAAAATAGAAAAAAATGAAACCATAAAGAAATGAAGAAAATATTGAAACAAGATGAGACCATGTAAACATAATAAAAATGTAATTATGATTTTCTTATACTCTAATACTTTAGTGTATTAAAAAATTATGAATTAAAAGAAAAGTTATAGTTGCCTTAAAGCTAAAGCTATTATACTAAATGGCTTTAAACCCACTGATAAGGCAACGAAACCCAACACTAGATCTGAAATTGAACACCAAGTTCTACAAGACACAAGTTTATTAAGGCTTGGCCCAGTACCTAGTGAGATAAGAACTACAAACCATTAATAGAATAACATCATACCTAAGATCTCAAGAAAACTCAAGAATTCAAGTTGATAAGTTTGTTGTTAGAATGCTACAAAAAGTAACTTGATAAGCTCAAAATTCTTTTTAAGAAATCCAAAAAACACAAGAAACCCCTCATTTTCATGAATGTTATGAATTTTCATTAAGCTCCTAAATAAATCAAAGGTTTTATAATAGATAGAAATCAAATTTTAGCATTTAGAAGGTCGCAACACATGCTAACTTGTAAATCCTTAATTGGTATTAATTATACATCAAATTAACCCCAAAATTTAAAATTTTCAAAAAGAACAAAAAAAACTATAAGAAAAGAAAATTATTCAAAATTTATTTCATGCTTAAACAAAATTGAATATTACAACTAAAAAATATGAAATAACATAACAAATACAGTAGAACATTGATAACAATGCAATTCCTTAATGATATGGGGGTCACTTAACACTCCTAAATAGGCACTTATGAATCTGATGGGTTGGACTTCAAGATCACTAAAAAATTTGTTCTACTCAAGAAAATCATTCTACATCCTTAACCATGTTGACTAGGCACTCTTAGGTTTTTGTTGGACTATTGTAGGGCTTCCATGTGTAAGTCACATCGCTAAATTATTAAGCTAACTGATTAAAGCTTCTTTAAAATATTTGGTTGTAGATCTTGTGATTGGTCCACCTTAAAGAGATAAAGGATCGTGTGAATGCCCATAATGCTTTTGTGTAGCTCCATTTGCATCATTATCTTTCTTAATGTCAAAAGGAGCTCATCTATATGTTGGACATCAAAAGTTAAACTAATATTAAAAGTGTGACTTAGGTCTTCTCTTATGGTTACATAATTTAAGCTTATAAGTGTTTTCAAGCTTATTTCAATTGGTACTTCCATATTAGCTATCTCCTTTTGATGTTTATTTATAACTTTAAGGTAACAGGTCCTTGATTGATGTAATACCCACTAAGTAATGATTATTTCCTCTTGTCTATCAACATTAAGGAATTTGATTGGTGCAACTCTCATTTTTAGTATCCATATTACTATGGTCTACTTTATTTTATTTTTTTTATCATAGTGGCTTGAGGCTTGATTGATAAGTATCTTCTTCGGGTCCACCTAAAATGACATTTGTAACACTTATAATATGAAAAAAAAACTAACTTATATAGGTTTGTTTCTACTTACTCTTTTCATTTCTTCTCTCAACCTCTTATTATTATTTATTATTATGAGTTCTTTTAACTTTCTTTTGCAAACAAGCTTTTTTATCATATTGCAAAAGCGATGAAGTTTTTAAGTGTCATGCTATTGATCATTATGGAACACATAGTATTTAGTCATGCCCTTCAAGTGAGGTACTACCTTCATAGAGTTTGATCATTAAAAACGCTCCTTATTCTAGGTAGCCTCAAGAAATTCAACGATTCACACTTGTATTGAGGTGATTTTGAGATAGTGTATTAGTGGTGATAGTGTCATGATTGTTGCATAATGATTGCCTCTTCCATTAGTTAGTACTTGCCCCATATGCTGATGAATTCATAGGGGTTGGTAAAGTGGCTAGATGGGTTATAGATGAGCCATGTGTAATTTCAACAACTTGAGAAAGGTTAATTTTTTGAGGGGGTTATCTCAACATTTTTTTTCTTTATATTGCATTTAATAATTTTTTAGCTAATGATCTAACCTCGTTATTAGATTTCTTAACATTTATGTGGCCATTGTCTTGTTCAAGAAACTTAGGTAATGAACCCAATCTTTGCATGAAATGAAAATATTTGAATGGTCCTTCTTGGATTTCATAGGTTACAATGGCTTAAGTAATATAAAGTTCATGATTTTTAATCTCTAGTATTTCTTTTTGAAATTTAATTATTAAACTCATAGGGATTTGGTGGGCTCCTAACTCATTCTCAAAAATGCTTTTGAGCTTTCTATGGTCATTAGATATTGACAAATTGAGTGAATGAGCATCCTCCTAAACTCTATAAAAAGAAAAATATAGTTTCAAGGGAAAAGAAAAAAAATTGTCTAAGAGATGATTCTTTTAAAGTTATGAAAATAGTTGACACGTCAATGCATCATTAATGTCTAAAATGATACCATCAACTCAAAGTATGCAATATGGCTAGTCGTCTTCTGTTGACCTTTATATGAGTTTAGATAAGGTATCATGAACCTGAGATAGTCTTACTCCTAATGATTTCTTTGATGTTATTAGAACTTTTTACTTACGTGTTAAATTACATGGGCTCAAGGGTAGACTTTTTCTTTTCTTTTCTTTTTTCTTCTTTTTATTTTTTGGACTCAATATAATAGGTTTCCTTTACATATGATAGCATTCTTCTTAGAGAATTTCCTTGCAAGGTAACAAAGTCAATTGGCTCATTCAAATGATGTATTTATGGTGTCACTTAATATTATATTAAAGAAATCCAAGATTAATCTTCCTAGTATAATACCTATCTTTCCATCAATCTTCTTTTCAATTTATTCAGTTAGCTTGTATTTAAAACAATTTGTTCATCATTTATTATAGATTTTTCTCTTAGTATTGTTTCTTTGTTTGTATTTATGCTAAGTCCGTCAATAGATCTATAATGCCCTTTTTAGATCTAGGCATTTGTATACTCTCATCATTCCTAAGCTATTAGTACTCCAAAAGAATATCTTACTAATTCAAAAGAATCGAGAAACACCCTAAAAAATTAAAGTGGAAGAAAAATCCACTAATCCATATCTTGAGATATTAGAAATACATAGTAGAGAGAAAGAGTATAAAATAGTCCAAACCTTTGGCTCTTTCTTATAGGTTATGTTTTGAGCAATTCAAAAAAAAATTATAATAATGAGCAATACCTAAAGGAGACTAACATATATAAATACTAGTTCACTTATTACAATCTTGGGTTAACCCCCAGATTTGTTAAAGAAGCTATTTTTTCTCAACATATCTTAATAAATCGATGATTATAGTCCGCCGTTTTGACATGGTTGGCTTATGAAGGTTTGCTTGGATTAATATGAAATTATTTTGGAGATAGAAAGGAAGTTACCGTGGGTTTAGTATATGAGTTTACATTTTCATTAGTGGGTAGAATCTTTGAGTTCGACTAGTCTAACTCATGTTTTAGGCCGAAATGGTAATGTTCCTCCATCAAACTCAATGATTGAGTCCATACTAAGTCCAATTAGGTGACTTGGTGCTAAGCATTGTTCGAAAAATTTAAATTCCATTGTCACATAAGCAAAACTTCATACAAGTCCAATAAGGGATGCCAACATGCAATCACGAAGCAATATATATATATATATATATATAGAATTGTTTGTTTTTCTGTTAATGACAGAATGATATCAACGTGTTAGCTTTTGCAGGGAGTTTTGAGAAATGGAACGAGCTTGGAGAGTTTGTCAAGGAAAGAGTAAGATTGCTATTGCAATAATATACAATTACACCAGCTTGTAGCTACTTGTCAGTTTAAACGACGCATTTCATCATCAAGAAACTACAGCCAAAAAGGACATCCTCAAAAAGAGGTGCATTTAAAACAAAACAGAACAAGTTCATGTCGCTTACAAAAAAGGAGAAATAAATAAGTTTACAGACTGCAAAATCTAACATGTAATCATCATATAATGGACTGGTTGCATCCAAAATGGTTACCGTCTTTCTTCCAAGGCCATAACCCATTAAATCACGCTTGGCTTTTTTTTCCATTGTCCTCCTCATGCTCTGGCCCTCTTGTTACTGCATGCAGGGCATTTATACTGTTTGATGTGCTCAGCCCTGGCAGGAGTTATCTTGACACACTTTCCATGGAACCATCGCTCACAAACATCGCAGCAAATCCAGAACTCATCATTGACATAGTTGTCACCACAAGCACCACACAACGTGTTTCCATGCTCATCTTCATCTTCTTCCAGCTCCTCTTCTCCGCTTTCATCAAAATCTTTCTGAGGTGGAGCTTTTGAGTTCTTTGTCTGGTGCTGGGCCAGCGAGTGAAATTATATGAAGATTGAAGTTATTCATCAGATATGAGCAGAGCATTTACAATTTATGAATTGCCATCTAGAAAAACTGAAATATACCTTTGCAAATGGCTTGTTGCTCTTGCTGCTGCTGTTGGGGGTTTTCTCTTGAGAAAGCTTTTTTGCAGTTCCAGTCACAACCTCATAAATTGTTGGAAGATTGTTAATCATGGTGAAGAGCCTTTTCCTGCAACAGCAAGTAAATCGGGAATGGTCCCTCTATCCAAACTTCAAGATTTGAAAAAAAAAAAATCCTGTTTCATCTCTACTTTTCCCCTGAAAATGTCATGAATCCACTATAAACCCATTGATAGCCATGGCATGTTCTTTTTTTACTTACAATTTGCTTTCAGAATGTACACCATGAGCATCATTATTGCCATCAGCGACCATACAAATGCAGGAATAAAAACAATTTATTAAATAAAAAAGAGATGAAATTTCCATAACAACAAGTTGACAAGTCCAGCTTCATTGTTCATGATAAGGAAATTTGTTCAAACCAAGTATAAAATGCTCAATATTTAAATGTGATGAAATTGAAATTACAAATCCAACTCTAATTGGAAAAAAAAAATAATAGTTTGTCGGTCAATATTGCTACAAGATCAAATGATGAACTACGTGTCAAAATATTGGGATCTATCACATCTATAAAAATATCAACAATCATTTGTATCGATCGAAAATATAAAAATGTGAATATAAACGAGGATATAACAAATTTAATATATATATATATATATATATATATTCAAATTCTAAAGGCTGTGTAGGCAAAATAGAAGTATTCGAGAAGTAATTTTCATAAGAGTGTCGAATCGTGCTGCGGTTTCCTTATCCTTGAATAGAAAGACAGCTGTAGATCTTCCTGTCCAGTTCTCCCTGATGCCCGCCGGTTGCAGCTGGTAAGTTCCCTGGAAAGCAGGACAGATGCAGTATTGAAGGTGACAGTAGCTACCCGGGCTGGCAGCAAACTTCCCTATATAGCAGGAAAGCTGCTGTAAATGAATGACGCAGAATCTAGGGACCTTTTATGGATGAGCATGACAGTGCATGAATTGATGGATTGTAGTATGCAGTTTCAGCATATAATTGGAGGAAACAAGAATTAGTCTATCTGATCATTACTCCATGTGATTCCATCAAATAAATTTAGTAATTTTGAAACTGATGTAATGCCTTTCTTTCCTTTCTTTATAGAATATATTTATTTATTTCCAGTTTTTCCCATTTAAACCTCTATATATTGAACAAGGTTTCGTCCAATGAAGAACATATAATATTTCACCATCCCTTTCTCCAATGTTTTTATTTCCCCTCCTACTAGTACGTATTTATTTCTTTCCAGTTTTTCCCATTTAAACATTTATATATTGGACAAGGTTTCGTCCAAGAAAGAACATACTCTATTCCACCATCCTTTCTCCATGCTTCTCTTCTTTCTTTCATCGTTAGTGCAAAGTTTTATCTAAGCTATGGCTGACAGTTTCAAGAGGAACCCCGTGGGGTCTAGTAAAGTAGAGACTGCCAATTACCAATTCACACCATCATTCCAGGAGTACTCACCTATTCAAATCATGCCTTCAAACTGAATGGGGAAAACTTCTTCAAATGGTATCGCTCAATTTAAATGGTGATCCAAGGAAGAGGAAAGATTGGACATCTAAATGATAACATTCATCAATCTAAAATGGCCGAACCTTTCCCACATGGGATTCCGACCATACTTTTAGTGTCATCAATTGTAATAAAGAACACGTTGAACCCTGATACTTGGCCAACAACGCCACATAAACAATTTTTGTGAAAATCAACATGAAGCATTGTAGTTTTGAAAATTCTACTCAAGTAAAAAGAACAAGTTCATGGCCTTAAACAAAAAGGCATTTCATCAAATACTTCTCTAAACAATATTTAGCACGAACTAGATACCTTCAAGCAAATGATTGGTGCAAGAAGCGTAAACTTGTGGAAAAAAAATGAGAATGTATAAATTTCATGCCAGACTAAATAAAAATGAAGATGAAGTTTGTGAAACAATACTCGAGATTCATCCATTTCCAAAAATTCTAGTGAAGTGTTAAAGTATTGAGGGAAGACAATAGATGAAAAATAATGCATTAAAAGGCACTAAGCTGATAAGAAAACTCTCATAACTGAAGAATTCACTAAAAACGTGGAAGGAGAGATAATAACTGGAGCAATGATTGTAATAACACAAATCAAAACTCAGAAAATTGTTGGAAACTTCATGGCAGACTAACAAATGGGACCAATCCTAAAAATCACACAAAGACACTCATGCTTATCAAATTAAAAATGAGAGAGAAAAGATGAAGAACTGTGAAAACTTGGTAAAATTTCCTCAAACAAAGACAATTAGACCTTTCATAAAATGTACTTTCTGAAAAAACCTGCTGTCTCCTTTCTTTTGGCCCAGAAAAGGTTATTTTCATCAAGCTATTACCGGTACTAAGGGAGAACAAGAATCTTGCACATGACAGATTATACTTACTTGAAAACCTTAAATCCTCAAACTCAACAACATTATTGACGGATCTTTACCCCCTATTTATAGAAATAACTATAAGAATTAACTGAGTTTTGTTTAAATTATGTTTTACATGTTCCGAATATAATCTTGAAATCTCTAGTATCTAAGTAATGCAACAAAAGTTAGAAACTTTAACATTCATGTTCTCATTAAAATTTTATGAATTTCTCAAAAAAATCACATGTAAGAAGTTTGGCAGTGCAACCATGGTTAAGTAAGGTTTCAAAGATAGTAATCATACCGATCCTATGAACTTACAGCTTTCTTCTCTCGCAGCAAGAAAAAGAACAAATTATGTTATGGTATTATAGATTTGTTCAAAATGGTTTTATGTACCTAACATACTTATTTCCTTATTAATTTAGTAATAAGAATATCTTACAATGTAAAATATATTAACTTGTCCAACACCAAAGAGCTAGCTTTAAAACTATCACATAAAGCCATCAAGACATTTTTTAGACATGGTAACACGGCCTATTGAGATCAAACAATCTTTCGAAGGGTGGCTTAACATTTTTATTATAGTGTGTTGGTTATATATTTGTTGGGAAAAAAAACTGATATATAACCAACCTTTTGAAAACTTTCATGATATGGCTAAAAGTCAATTCTCCGTTCAAATCAAAATACTTCACTCTAATAGAGGGAGTATTCAGCATTTATGAAAATTAACAAAATCAAAATGGAATTATCCATCACAATTCATTCTCAAAAATACCTCAATAAATGATATAACCAAATAAGAAATTAAGCATCACTTAAAGATAACCAAATATATTATGTTCACCACTAATACCCTTAAATATTATTGGGTTGATGCCATCCTCACAACTAGCAAACTTATGTTTCAATTACCAACTAATTGCGCTTCAATTCAAAAGCCTAATCAATTTGTTTTCCAAATGCTTTTCAAATAATCATATGATTTCAAATCGTCCTATTAAGATCTTTGAGTGCATTGCTTGTATCCACAATCACAAGCTTTATAGGAATAAATTGGATACCAAACCTTTCAGATGTATTTTATGGAGTATGGAGCAAATTAGAAAGGAATATAAAATTTTTCCCTGAAAAAAGATATATCCATGTATGACACATTTGAATGCAAAGCCTTGTCCTACAAAATTCCCATCAAGAACATAAGAAGAAATTTTAATATGCCTCTATACCATTAACACCACTGAGTGCATAAACCTACTTAGGCCCAAGAACAATGAGATTATCAAAACACATATTGCAGATAATCACTTGATCCAAACCCCCTTTGAACTTGTTGTTTAGAAGTGAAACTACTCTACCTTCAAAAAGCTTGGGATGAATCCTACTTGGACTCAATAAATTCACAAACTGTGCTTTCATGTGAATTACAAAGGAATTACCCATTTATTGTACAAAAGAGGCCCGTACCTACACTCTGCTTTTCTTCTTTCTTTCATCGTTAGAGCAAAGTTTTGTCTAAGATATGGCTGACAGTTTCAAGAGGACCCAGTGGGGTCTAGTAAAGTAGAGACTATAGGTTCAACCAACTTACCAATTCACACCATCATTCCAGGAGTACTCACCTGCTCAAATCATGCCTTCAAACTGAATGGGGAAAACTTCTTCAAATGGTATCGCTCAATTTAAATGGTGATCCAAGGAAGAGGAAAGATTGGACATCTAAATGATAACATTCATCAATCTAAAATGGCCGAACCTTTCCCACATTGGATTCCGAACATACGTTGGTAATGTCATTAATTGCAATAAAGAATACGTTGAATCCTGATACTTGGCGTACAACGCCACATAAACAATTTTTCGTGAAAATCAACATGAAGCATTCTAGTTTTGAAAATTCTACTCAAGTAACAAGATCAATTTCATGGCCCTTAAACAGTAAAGCATTTCATCAAATACTTCACTAATTAAAATTTAGCACGAACTAGATACCTTAAAGCAAATGATTGGTATAAGAAGCGTGTAAGAAAATACATCAAACTTGTGGAAAAAAAATGAGGATGTATAGTTTTCATGCCGGACTCAACAAAAATGAAGATGAAGTTTGTGGAACAATCCTAGAGATTCATCCATTTCCAAAAATTCAAGTGAAGTGTTAAAGTGTTGAGGGAAGACAATAGATGAAACATAATGCATTAAGGGGCACTAAGCTGCAAAGAAAACTCTCATAATTGAAGAATTCAATAAAAACGTGGAAGGAGAGATAATAACTGGAGCAATGTTTGTAATAACACAAATCAAAACTCAGAAAATTGTTGGAAACTTCATGGCAGACTAACAAATGGGACCAATCCTAAAAATCACACAAAGACACTCATGCTTATCAAATTAAAAATGAGAGAAAAGATGAAGAACTGTAAAAACTTGGCAATATTTCCTCGAACAAAGACAATTAGACCTTCCATTAAATGTACTTTCTAAGAAAACCTGTTGTCTCCTCTCTTTTGGCCCAGAAAAGGTAATTTTCATCAAGCTATTACCGATACTAAGGGTGCCCACGTTTCAAGTACTCCAAAATCGTGTTTTTTCCATCCTTCGTTTGAGTTGGCGGATATCAAAAAACTTGATCAGAATAATGGGAAGTTTGTCATCTTTTTTACAGAACTTGAAGGTAATCAACTTGCTTC